TGTCACAAAAATTATTGTTAAACGAAATATTAATTAAAATTTCAATTTCGGAATTATTTTACTATTATTAAATAAATAAATGAAACTATGGCTCATTTAAAAAGTTTAATTTTTTTTACATATTAAGGCAAAGTAAATTTGTTTTTTCAATATTTTGTTAGCTATTTAATTACGATTTAAATGTAAAATTAAAGTGAAAATTCACAAATTATTTTCAAATTATTATTTATTGTTAAATGATTTAAAAAAGAATAAAAAGCATTTGAATTTATTGCAAAATTCTTAAAATTAAAAAATATTAAAAATAACGCGGTCGATAAAGTTACAATTTTAACTTCCTAAAATTTTAATATATAAAGTTTTTTTATTATATTTATTACTAATTTTATAAACATAATCGAAATTAATTCAAAAAATATTAATCACAACCATTTTCAATAATAGATATAAATAATGCGATACAATACAATTTAAAATTTAAAAATTTTTCTATTTTTATGAGAAATAATAATTTGAATATAATTTATGGATTTTTACTTTAATTTTACATTTAAATCGTAATTAAATAGTTAACAACATATTGAAAAATCAAGTTTACTTTGCCTTAATATGTAAAAGAAATAACTTTTTAAATGAACGATAGCTTCATTTATTTATTTAATAATAGTAAAATAATTCCGAAATTGAAATTTTAATTAATATTTCGTTTAACAATAATTTTTGNTGTAGCAATTTTTTTTATGATTGATTATATTTAAAAATCAATTATAATAAAAATATTTTACATTAATATTGGTATAAGTTGAAAATGGCAAAAGTAAAATATTCTTTCATAAACAATATAGCGGAATTTTTATTTTAAATTATTGCACAATTATAGCGTTCCAAGATTTAAAACGTAATATTTTATAATTTTTTTAGCACAGGGGTGATTTATAAGGGTTGAAAAGTGTTGTGAGATACAAATTCTTTCATAAGCAATGAGGGAATTTTTATTTCAAATAATTGCACCGTTAAAGCATTCCAAGCTTTCAAAAGTAATTTTTTATCATTTTTGTCAATACAGGGGCGGTTTTTAGGGGTTGAAAGGGAAAAATCCTTTTATTGGCTATAAGGTAACTTATTTTAAATAATTGCTCAATTCAATCATTCCAAATCTTTAAAAAGTAGTTTTTTATCATTATTTTTTGCATAGGGGTAGTTTTTAAGGGTTAAATAAAGAGTAGAAAAGATCAGATATATCATAAAACATGTTCGAGAACATGGAACATTATTTAATGTTTGTGCTTGAACAAGATTTTTATCAATAAAATGCTTAAAACTTAAATTTTTTCAATTTTTTTTTTCACTTTGGAGCAGTTTTTACCCCTAAAAAACAAATAGCGTCAATCGGGCTTATGTTACTTTTGAACTTGAGCCTAAGATGAGCCTTATTCTAAATTTTCATGCAAATCCGTGCAGTTTCAAAGAATTCGGAGGTTACAGCTGATTTTCAACTTCTCGGACTCGACAATAGTCAGCACTCGACTGCTTCTCGCAGTAAAATCGTAAAAATAAAGTTAAAAAGTAGACCGCAAGTAATTAATATTAAATTTAAAGCAAAATGTAATTGGATTTTTTTGCAAAAATCCCGTATATTTTTTATCCGGACGGTTTTAACCCCAACTTCCCGCAGAGTTCCGACTTCCCCCTCTCGGTGGAGATGCTGCTGAACGTGCTGGAAGTGATCGCGCCCTTCAAGCACTTCTCCAAGCTGCGCGACTTCATCACCTTCAAGCTGCCGACGGGCTTCCCCGTCAAGGTGGAGATCCCCATCCTGCCCACCGTCACAGCCAAGATCACATTCCAACACTTCGAGTTCCGAGACGACATTCCCAGGCACCTCTTCGCCACGCCCAAGGATTACGTGGAGGACCCCACGAGGTAATGTCCCCCTCGCCATCGGTAACGGAACTCGCAATTCGCAACTAATTCTGTCGCAGATTCCCCGACTTATGACGTCCCGAACTGCTCAACGCGTTCGAGGTGAGCTACGCGGGCAAGCCGCAGTTCCTGCTGCCCCACGACAGGAGACGGCTGCCGGGGCGCCCCTCCAGGCTGGCCAGGAGGCTGCGCAGGGGCAGGGAGGGCTGGTCCTCGGCCGGCGTCGATGTAAGTACAAACCAACCCACCGTTATCGTAGAGATCCCCATGCTGTTCACCCTCGGCAGCATCTACAGCACCAACTGTCTTCTTTATCTGGAGTAGAGGTCCTGGCGGAACGGGCGGGACGACGGGAAGGTCTCTTGTTTGGAAAAATTCGGTTTTTGCGGACGAGCGATAGTAAACAAAGTATACGAGTGCGAATTTGCACAACTTTGGGGGAATATCAGTGATTTTTATTTATTTTTGATGATTTGTTACTGTTTTTAAAAAAATCTTGTGGTGTTAGGTCTGGAGTGAGAGGCGGATGTCCTAGTTCGTTTTTTAATATTTCTCTTTTAAAAAGTCTGCCTGTGCGAGTTGGACCAAATTCTATACTTTTATAAGGGTTTGTCAAGTGTTTCGAGGAGATATGCAAAAGTAGTTCAAATGTCTCAGGCTCGATTTTTGAGAAAGATCACAACATTTTTTGATTTGTTCGAGAAGTACAAAGCTTTTTTTATTATTATTTACTGGTTTTGTGATATTAATTTTTTATTTATGAAAATAATTTATTTTTATAGAAGGCATTTGAACATTTGAACTATTTTTCTATCTTCAAAAATATGAGAAATTGCCTTGAGGTTTTTAGATAGAAATATAGTTTTAAGAAAATTACTGAAAGTAGTTCAAATGACTTGGGCTTAGTTTTTGAGAAAAATTGAAATGAAAACTTGATTTGTTCAAGTAATATACGTTTTTTATTTAACCGACTTTCTGATGTGCAATAATTTTTTACATTTATAGATACCAGATTTTAATTCAATTTCTTTAGAAATTAATTATGAGACATTTGAACTACTTTTTGCCTACCTCTCCAGGTCCTGAGAAAATTTACAAAAAGTAGTTCAAATGTCATGTTTGATTTTGGAGAAAAATTGAACATGGTAAATTTTTCCAGCTTATTTTCCTTAAAAAAAACCAAGGCCGAAACATTTGAACTACTTTTTATCTCTGAAAATGCGAGAAACAATCTCTGGAAGTTTCTCATATCCCGAGAAAATATACGTAGGTATTTCAAATGTCTTGGGCTCTAATTTTGGAAAAATTGAAACGGCAAAAGCCACAATTTGATTTATACAAGAAATTTTGAACGTTTTTTATTGTTAACTGTCTTTGTGATGTCAAATAATTTTTTATATATGAAAATTGTTAGTTTTTATAAGCAAATTCCAGTTCAATTTCCTTAAAAACCAAGGCCGAGACATTTGAACTACTTTTTCCTGCCTTCAAAAATATGAAACACTGCCCCGGGAGGTTTTCAGATTGCCTTAAAAAATACCTACACGAAAAGTAGTTCAAATGACAGGCTCAATTTTTGAAGAAAATTGAAACGAAAACGGCATAGAATTTTTTTATTTAGCCGACTGTAAATGTCCAATATTTTTTTTATTTGTGGAAATTGTTTATATTTATAGATTCCAGATTTTAGTTCGATTTCTTTAGAAACCAATTATGAGACATTTGAACTACTTTTTTGTCTAACTCGAAAAATATGAGACTGCTCAGTGGTTTCCAGGTTCTGAGAAAATTTACAGAAAGTAGTTCAAATGTCTTATTCTCTATTTTGGAGAAGAATTGAAATGGTGAATATTTTATTCCTTAAAATGCAAAGGCTGAAACATTTGAACTACTTTTTGTTTACCTCGAAAAATGTGAGAAACAATCCCGGGAAACTTCTACTTTAAATGTTTTGGACACTATTTTTGAAAAAATTGAAACTAAAAACCACGATTTGATTTATACAAGAAATTTTGAGCATTTTTTATTGATAACTGGTTTTGTGATCAAATAATTTTCTATGTCTGAGAATTGTTAGTTCTTAATAGATTCCAGATTTCAGTTCGATTTCCTTAAAAACCAAGGGCGAGACATTTGAACTACTTTTTGTTTATCTTGAAAAATCTGAAAACTGCCCCGGGTGGTTTCTAAATTGTACTGAGGAATTTTACAAAAAGTAGTTCAAATGTCTTGGGCTCGATTTTCAATACAAAAAATTCTATTTGCTTTCTATCGCAGATTTCAATTATAAATCGCTACCGAGACATTTGAACTACTCTTTATCTATCCTTGAAAATGACAAGAAACCCTTCGAAAGCGTCGAATTTGGCTCACCTTATTTATATAAATTTTTTTAGTGACTTTTTGCTCAAGTCTCACCCCTGAGACGTTCCGTTGCCCCGCCCATTACACTTACTACGTTTCTTAATATATCATCAGTATTTTTTAGCTCTTGCTTTAACGTTCGCTGTTACGTTAGGATTAATAGGGTTAGACGCAGAACATTTATGTTCGACTGCCCGTTTTTTCATTTTCGATCGCCGGAGCGGTTGAAGTACTTTAAAAAGAAATGGGTTGCGCGATCTTGTTGGTAATGTTGATAGGTATAACGACAGGGTACTATTCGTCTGTGTTGTCCTCGTTTTGTTAACAAGCCTTGGGTTATTGTTAAGCGTAAACTTTGAGTTAGTCGTTGTGGATGTTTATCGTTTTAGGAGACAAAAAAAAAGTCGTTTGTCGTGTGACGTTTTCGTAATGTCGAGAGGAAAAAATCACATACTATTTTTTTTAACCTTAAAATTATGTACGTTAATACCAAGGATTGTTTAAAAAGTTCACACTCTAAGTTTTTTAAGGAAAATTTTATTTACGTTAAAAATATTTTGAATCAGAGATTTCTTTCTTGTTTTATATTGAAATTTAATTTTACGTGTGGCATCACTGAGCGAAATGATTCTCCGCTAGATGGCGCTACGGTTTCGTTGACAATTGAAAGAAATGGTAGCAAACCATCGTTGCCAGATTGGGCGATTTGTCTCAAATTAGACGATTTTTTGGTTGCAAAACTTGTAGTAAAAGTAATTTGTACATGTGAAATACTAATCATGGAAAGTATATAAAAACTAGACACTTTACTTATAAACTGTTTTTTTCTTTCAAATATAAGTGAACTTTTTAGATATCCTCCGAGTTCTTCTTCAGTTTTTTTTAATTTCTTACACTTAAGCTTTTTTATTCCTGGTCACGTTCAAACGAAAGGCTCTTTTATAACTCTTTGTTCAATTTAGCTTTATTAAATTAATTTTTAACAGTTTTGGGCATTATGTATTTTTTTACAGTATTTTTAGTTAATTTCAGCAAATGTGGGTAATAGGACACTTTAATATGTTTTTAATGTCTATCCAGACCACGGAAATGCTAGGGATAGAAAATATGTTAATATAAACGCAAAAAAAAAAGAAAAATTCGAGGTATACGTTGGCCTGGTACGGAAAAACTTTTTATTTGTGTTTTTTTTTAGTTTCGTCTATTTTTTACACTCTAATTTCAGATTATTTATATTTTTCTTATGATTTTTTTTATACAGTTTTTATGCCCCTTGTACATTCTTCGTATCGTTCTCGTTGTGTACTTGGCCACCCTATATCTTAAATTTAGAAAAGCGGCAGCTAACATAGTCTTAGTTTCATATGGGACAGTTCCGACTAACCTTTTTAGACTCTGCAGCTCGTACGGGGGCCTACACTTTCATCTTTCAAAATTCTCCACATTCAGAGAATCGACTGCCAGAAATTTACACGTATATACATATAAAAACGTCAATTAATATACTCTCGAGAAAGTTAAGCGAATTCACAAACGTTTAAGTTGTGAGAGTGGAGGCCCTCGTTGGGAGTAGCCGTCTTGCCTGTGAACGGTGTGACTGTTTCCTTAAACTTAGCAGGTGTCGTTGGCAGCGCTATGAATTTCGTCGAAATAAAATTAGAGTGCATCCTTTTTTTAATTTTTGACGTATTTTGACGATTTATAGCGCTGTTTGGTCGACTTTTATCAAGTGGCACCTCACGTACATACGATTTACGTTTCCCAATGTACATTTGTAAAAACGTACTTTTGTTGTTATTCCGTATTTTAATTATTTATTTCACTAGGTATAATTGTTGTACACTTGTATAGATTTAAAAGAGAACCTGAAACTTTTATCAGTAATATACATTTTATGTAAGACGTACTTTCTTTTCCGAACCCTTCCATCGGACACATACGTAGGTGCGTCACAAAGAATGGAGTCAATATCGTTGGAACATTCTTTCGTAAAATCCTTAGTTTTTGCGCTAGTGTTTATATTAGTTTTTCAAGGGTCAAAAACGGTGTATATCGACTCGGAGATGAATTTGCTGTATTAAAAAAGTAGTATTAAAAAATAAGTAGAATCCTAGAATATTCCAGAATGTCGAGTATTAACTAGAAGGCTATGCTTTCATATTTAAACATAAAATTTAATTCCAAGCAATTTTTCCTCATTACTCTTTCACGTAGCGTTAAGATTTAAGGTACTTTACTCTTTACTGTTTTCACCTTTTCCAAATTTTTGAATACCCTGTACAATAAATTGAACAAATGACAAGGGCTTCTGGACAAGCAAAAATTTTTATGAAGAATGATTATTTTTGTCAATTGAAATTTTGTATCCATTTCAGGTATAGGCAAGCCGAACTGGGGACACCCTGTATATTAAGAATTTAATCGAACTTTTTTACATGGGATTTCGTTTTCTTCTTCGATATTATATCCATCAACTTCTTCATCTTCAAACTCAAAATAATTATTAATTTCCGCCTTGTCTAACATTCTCGCACTCTACTTCTACTTCTTCGATCGAATCGATTTTTTTTGAAAGATTTGATTTGTTTGAATATTCACAGTTATTCTAATTGTTTATAAGTACAAAAATTCAACCAATGTTTAAACAAGCGCCAGAGCCCTCCTAACTGACGGATTGGAATTTTTCAAAAAGCATTTGAAAGCTTGAGAGCCCTTCGATATGCGATTAAATTTTTAAGTAACTAAGGGCCTTGATTTTTGCTGTGCAAAATTTTGAAAGTTTGCAAATTTTTTTTCAAAATTTGGATTGCAAAATCTATCAAACCGATTTTGATGAAATTTGGTATAATGATTCTACATAACATGGAGGTTCTATACCCAATTTAAAGATCCCAAAAAAATTCCCTAAAAAGTATTGTTTTTTAACCCCATTTTTGGCGATTTTTTCGATTTTTACCATAATACTCATACACCAGGAAAATTAGCGAAAATAAAAGAGAAACTCGAAAAAAGTCCTATCTGCTAGATTATTGTAAAATTGTCTAAAGGAACATAATACAAGACATCTCTCGTCTCGTGAGTCAAAAACTTTTATTAGCTAACTTTTCTTAAACAAATAAGTGAGGAAAACAGTTTTTTCACTTTGCAGGGAAAACCATCAATTTTAGCGAAAAGTGACTCACAGACAGCTTATAGGGAGTAAAATTATCTACAAAATGAGACTGGTTAAATTAAAATCGGTTAATAAACAAAAAAGTTATTGCAAAAAAACAAGAAAAGTGCCCATTTTTTCATTTGTTTATAACTATCGCATTTATTGTTAAAATTTTATAAAACCTATGACAAGTTGAGGGTTTTGTCATACTTTAAAAGTGTGCCAAAAGTGGGCGCTGTAGGTGCAATAGTTTTCGCACAATTCTATTTGTTTATAGCGGAGGCTCCAAAAGTTATGAACTTTAAGCCTCTGTACAGACGTTAATTTTCAATCAAACATGATTCTGAAAGCGTCATTGTAATCTTAAAGACGCAATTAAGCGACCTATTAAAAAATATCACCGTTTTTTTGACATTAACATTCTCAAATTGTGCATTAAAAAACCGTGCGTTTTTCGCTTATAAACAATTTGAATAACATTGTTGCTATTTATGCTATCTCACCGAAAATAGATGCAATGGATAGCTGGAAAAAAAATACAGTTTTAAAATAAAAAAAGTGCCCTCTACGACCAACAGGAGCCAAGATAAGAATCTTTTTTTAAAAAATCGTAGCGCAATTGTTTATAAATATTAAGACTTGAATTTTTCGCAAAATAAAGTTTACGACGTAAACTACGATTTCCCGTGAATTGCATTGAAAAATGTGGAAAATTAACGACTCACGAGCCCTTTAAAGAGAAGGTACTCGCTAAGTAAACTGTCCGGCGGCCGGCGGCGTGGTGGTGGGGGAAGTGCGCGCTGTAAATTTTGCAATATCTCGGCTTCTATTCATCGTAGAAACTTTTTTTTTTTTTAAACTGGGGTAGCTCGACGAAAAAATAACAATGGGCATATTTACGAATTCGTAGAATAGCCCTGAACCCCAGAAAAAATGCATCTTTTATAATTAATTTTTTTTAATTTACAAAAATGTCACAAAAATTATTGTTAAACGAAATATTAATTAAAATTTCAATTTCGGAATTATTTTACTATTATTAAATAAATAAATGAAGCTATCGTTCATTTAAAAAGTTATTTCTTTTACATATTAAGGCAAAGTAAACTTGTTTTTTCAATATTTTGTTAGCTATTTAATTACGATTTAAATGTAAAATTAAAGTAAAAATTCATAAATTATTTTCAAATTATTATTTCTCATAAAAATAGAAAAAATTTTAAATTTTAAATTGTATTATATTGCATTATTTATATCTATTATTGAAAATGGTTGTGATTAATATTTTTTGAATTAATTTTGATTATGTTTATAAAATTAGTAATAAATATAATAAAAAAACTTTATATATTAAAATTTCAGGAAGTTAAAATTGTAATTTTATCGACCGCGTTATTTTTAATATTTTTTAATTTTGAGAATTTTGCAATAAATTCAAATGCTTTTTATTCTTTTTTAAATCTTTTAACAATAAATAATAATTTGAAAATAATTTGTGAATTTTTACTTTAATTTTACATTTAAATCGTAATTAAATAGCTAACAAAATATTGAAAAAACAAGTTTACTTTGCCTTAATATGTAAAAAAAATAACTTTTTAAATGAACGATAGCTTCATTTATTTATTTAATAATAGTAAAATAATTCCGAAATTGAAATTTTAATTAATATTTCGTTTAACTAACGTTTAATTTTTGTCACATTTTTGTAAATTTAAAAAAATTAAGTATAAAAGATGCATTTTTTCTGGGGTTCAGGGCTATTCTACGAATTCGTAAATATGCCCATTGTTATTTTTTCGTCGAGCTAACCCATTTAAAAAAAAATAAGTTTCTACGATGAATAGAAGCCGAGATATTGCAAAATTTACAGCGCGCACTTATTTGAACTTTGGATTTAACTTTTCTCGCCCGCGCGACCGCTTGGACGAGCTTCCCCCACCACCACGCCGCCGGCCGCCGGACAGTTTACTTAGCGAGTACCTTCTCTTTAAAGGGCTCGTGAGTCGTTAATTTTCCACATTTTTCAATGCAATTCACGGGAAATCGTAGTTTACGTCGTAAACTTTATTTTGCGAAAAATTCAAGTCTTAATATTTATAAACAATTGCGCTACGATTTTTTAAAAAAAAATTCTTATCTTGGCTCCTGTTGGTCGTAGAGGGTACTTTTTTTATTTTAAAACTGTATTTTTTTGCCAGCTATCCATTGCATCTATTTTCGGTGAGATAGCATAAATAGCAACAATGTTATTCAAATTGTTTATAAGCGAAAAACGCACGGTTTTTTAATGCACAATTTGAGAATGTTAATGTCAAAAAAACGGTGATATTTTTTAATAGGTCGCTTAATTGCGTCTTTAAGATTACAATGACGCTTTCAGAATCATGTTTGATTGAAAATTAACGCCTGTACAGAGGCTTAAAGTTCATAACTTTTGGAGCCTCCGCTATAAACAAATAGAATTGTGCGAAAACTATTGCACCTACAGCGCCCACTTTTGGCATACTTTTAAAGTATGACAAAACCCTCAACTTGCCATAGGTTTTATAAAATTTTAACAATAAATGCGATAGTTATAAACAAATTAAAAATGGGCACTTTTCTTGTTTTTTTTGCAATAACTTTTTTGTTTATTAACCGATTTCAATTTAACAGGTCTCATTTTGTAGATAATTTCACTCCCTACAAACTGTCTGGGAGTCACTTTTCGCTAAAATTGATGGTTTTCCCTGCAAAGTGAAAAAACTGTTTTCCTCACTTATTTGTTGAAATAGAAAAATTAGCTAATAAAAGTTTTTGACTCACGAGACGAGAGATGTCTTGTTATTATGTTCCTTTAAACAATTTTAGAATAATCTGGCGGATAGGACTTTTTTCGAGTAAAAAAAAAATTTAATTTGCTTGGTCTATCATGATTCATTCAATTTGTAACTAAAAACTTGTAAAAAATTTAATTACAAACATTTTTTCCTCTTCCATGTTCGCCTAAAATCAACTCTTGAAAAGATACATAATTAAAGAGGAAGAAAAATATGACATTTTTCGAATTTTTTTAACATATTATGTCGCCAAAAGTTAAGTTCACGCGCATAGAAAAATTTTCATTTCTAAAATCTCCGTAGATATACGATTCACCCAAATATGGACTTTTTGAAACGGATACCGTGTGGACTATGAGGTATATTGGTTAATAGAAATTTCAAATTCCTACTTAAAATTCTAGTTCAAACTCGAAATTTCATGGTTTAAATTGAAAGTTTCAAGTTCAAAATTTCAAATTTAAATTCCGTATTTCGAAATTTCAATCTCAAACTCGAGAGGTAGTAATTTTAATCATAAAAAAATAACATAATTATTAAACCTATACCTTATTAAACGTTTTGAAACTGAACTTGTAACTACGAATTTGAAATACGAAATTTCGAATTCAAACATGAAATTTTGAGTTCAAATTTAAGATTTCTCAGTAACGATTTTAATCATAAAAACCTTACACCTCGAAATTCAAATTTAAACTTGAAACTTTGAGATTGAACTTGAAATTTCGAATTTAAACTTGAAATTTTACTTTTCAAATTCGCAGTTTCTTGTTTCAAACTCGAAATATCAAGGTCAATCAAAACTTCTATTTAAAATTCAATCTTTCAATTTAATATTTGAAAATTCAAGATCGGACTCGAAATTTAACAATAGCGATTTTAATCACAAAAATTTAAATAATTATTAAACCAATATCCAGAATTTCGAAGTTAAACATTAGAAATCTAGTTTGAAATACGAAATTTGGAATTAAAACTTGAAATTTGAGTTCAAACTTGAAGTTTTATGTTTCAAATTACAAGTTTCTTGTTTCAAACTCGAAATTTCAAGTTCAAATGCGAAACTTCAAGTTTTAATTGCGAAATTTCAGGTTTAAAACTCGAGTTTCGTATTTCATACTTGAACTTCCACTTCAATCTCAAAATGTCAAATTTAAATTTGAACTTTCAATTTCCTGTACGAAATTTCAAGTACAAACTCAATAATGACTAAAATATATGTCATAGAAAATGTATTATTAATCAGTAAACCCGTATTTCGAGATTTAGAACTTGAAATTTTGAGAATGAACTCGAAATTTCGAATTTGAAATACGAAATTTAGAGTTCAAGCTTGAAATGTCATGTTTAAAATTCGAAAGTTTAAATTGGGAATTTCTCAGTAGGGATTAATCATAAAAAATTAAAATAATTAGTAAATCTGTAACTCCAAATTTAGAATTTAAACTTGCAATTTAGAGATTGCACTTGATATTGAAACTTGAGAGAAATTTCGAATTGCTACTTAAAATTATAGTTCAAACTCAAAATTTCATGGTTTAATTTAGAAGCTTCGTGTTTCAAATTCGAAATTTCAAGTTCATTCTCAAAATTTCAAATTGGAAATTTAAATTCCATATTTCGAAATTTCAATCTCAAATTCAAGGTAGTTATTTTAATCATAAAAAAATAATATAATTATCAAACCTATACCTCCAATTTTGAAATTGAGTTGGAACTACGAATTTGAAATACGAAATTTCGAATTCAAATCATAAAAAAAAACTTACACCTCGAAATTCAAATTTAAACTTGAAATTTTGAGATTGAACTTGAAATTTGGAATTTAAATTATGAAATTTTGAAATTTCGGATTTGAAGTATGAAATTTCAAATACAAATTTGAAATTTCGAATTCAAACTTGAAATTTTACGTTTCATTTAATATTTGAACATTTTAGATCAAATTCGAAATGTTTCGATAGCAATTTTAATCACGAAAAAATTAAAATAATTACAAAACCAAAATTTCTAATTTGAATACGAAATTTCGAGTTTGAAATGCGAAATTTTGAATTAAAACCTGAAATTTGTGTTCGAATTTGAAATTTTATTTTTCAAATCAGAAATTGTTTCATGTTTCAAACTCGCAAATTCAAGTTCAAAATCTAGATTTCCATTTTTCTTCTTTCACATCACTTTTTTCCCTATTTTTATCACACCCACTTTCATCGATAACATCGCTAATCTCGCGTCAGTTTTCATCGACATCGCTTATCGGCTTCCGTTTACCGCTTGCGTCATCGTTCTGTGACGTATCACCTTCTCTCTCATCTTCGGAACCCTCGCTCTTCTCGCTCCCTTCCTCTTCCTCACTGTCAACGCCTGTCTCTTCTCTGTCATCATCGCTACTTTCCTCGTCCAGGGTTTTCAGCCACTCTATCAGATCCACTATCGTTTGGCCCTCCTTATTAGCGATAGTAGTGTCGGCTCCGTTCTCAATAAAATAAATTACCAGGTAAACGTAACCCCTCAACGCCGCCGCGTGGAACGCAGTGTTTAAATCCCCGTTTGTAGCGTTGACTTGGCTGCCGTGCTTCACTAAGTACTTCACCACCTCCAGGTGGCCTTCGTGGGAAGCGTCGTGTAGGGGAGTGCATTGGTCGACGTCCAAGACGTCTACGTCGACGCGGCATTTTTTTATGAGGTACTTGACGACGTTCAGCTTGCCGACCGAGGCTGCTATGTGTAGCGCTGTGGTGTACGCTCCGGTGGGCGCCGCGCCCCGTTTGATCAGGAACTTGATTATTTTGAGGGTGCCCTTGCGGGCCGCCAAGAGTAAGGCCGACTCGCCGTAGCTGTTTGCCTAGAAGAAGAAAAAAGTAACGCTTTGAGTGTTTTAAAAAGTAGACTGATCAAAATAACTCATTTAGAGGAAAAAAAAAGAAAACTGTTACCAGGACTTTTATAAGTGGAAATGGTAAAGGGGCTTATAATAAACGAAAAAAAAAAAAATAAATGCGTGAGCGAGGGTTGATATGGGGGGTTGAAAAGTTGTGAAAAATTGTATCATTGCGAAAGTTGACGTCAAACAAAAAAGTATCCAACACAAAAGTTGTAGATCATGCGAAAATATACAACTTTTGTAGAGGTCACTTTTTAAGATAACCTCAAAATTTCCGAGAAAAATGCGAAAAACAGTTTTTTTTTCCTTATTTTTCGTTTTTTATTTCTCATTTCCGCAAAAATAACTTAATTTTAACGAAACTTGGTGAAAGTACAAGGTGATTCACTATATTTTGACCCCCCATTAACTTTTTTGTTTTAAGAGATAAAAAAATGTAAAATACAAAAGTTTACTATGCTCGACAGGGAACGTTCTAATATGTAAAAATATACAGGGTGTTCCATTTAAATTAACAAAGTTAACACCCGCGGCCATTTTGTTTGGACTTCATTTGTTTTTCAAATGTCATTTTCGAAAAATTCATAAAAAATCGTGCAACTTTTGTATTTTAAATTTTTTTAAGTTCAGAAAATGTGGAAAATTCGAATGGAAACCCCTAATTTCTTAAATACGTTAAATTAATTAGGGGTTTCCATTTAAAAATTTCGAGTTTTCCACATTTTCGATAAATATTTTTTCGACCACCCTGTATAAAAACTGGAAAATTTTCATGTCAAATTCGATGAATCTGCATCTGTCAATTTTTGCTTAAAAATCGAAATATCTGGGAAACGGTCAGTCCTAAATATGGAGTGTGCTATATGGTTTCTACTTAAAAATAGACGCTCTTTCCAAAAATGCAATAATATACAGGGGGTTCCATTTAAAATATGAAAGTTAGTATCCACTTCCGGTATAACCGGAAGTACGATGACCTTGAAAATATTTTAGCTTGTAGGCCCCACTTTCCGTATCACACCATTACAATTTCAAAAAAAATCCTTCCAGCGGTTTCCCAGATATCCATCGATGGAGTTCGTGGTGGGACATCCTGATAAACAACTTTTATAACTAATAAATTAATTTTAAAACCGTTTTGCTGCAAATTTTAAGAATTTTTTTTTATCCCCCCCCTAACTTTACATTCTGGCTACGCCACTGGCTCACGCATTAATTTTTTTTAGGTTTATTATAAGCCCTTTTAACATTTCCACTTATCCAAGTAATAATTTTTTTTCTCTAAGTGTAATTTGGTTGGACTAAAGTGACATTTTCCTACCTTATTCAAATTTACTCCCGCCTTGTCCGCGAGATACTCCACCACGTCCGAGTGTCTTCCGAGGGCGGCTCTGTGCAGGGGCGTCTCTCCGTTCGCGTTCTCAAAGTTGACGTTAGCCCCCCTTTCGACCAGGGCTACAACCACGTTGAGGTGGCCCATGGAACAAGCGTCGTGGAGGGGTGTGTTCAGTTCCATGTCGGTCGCGTCTACGAACGTGCCTTTGTCTTCTTCCGGCTGCGCAGAGAGAGAGAGACGTTTATTTATTTATTTGTACGCATGCCAACCCAGCTTAATGCTAACAAACTTTACTGTGAATGAAACAAATATATCGTTGATAAATGAGGAACATAGTCAAAGGCCCTAAAGAGACCCTTGCGGCGTACCTGACGTAATTAAACTAGAACTAATAGCTGCGACACGTGTCCCAAAATGATATAACAAAATTCATAAATTTTAAAAAATCGCTGAAACAGGTTAATTAATAAATGGCTTTTTGGCTTTCAAATATCACTAGAAACGAAAATTTTTCTATGCGCATAAAAAAACGTGGGCTTAACTTTTGGCGGAACAATGTGTTAAAAATATTCGAAAAATGTCATATTTTTCTTCCTATTTAATTATGTATCTTTTCAAGAGTTGACTTTAGGCGAAAATGGAAGAGGAAAAAATGTTTGTAATTAAATTTTTTACAAAACATGACTAGTTACAAATCGAATGAATCATGATTATTATCGTAAAAATCGCCAAAAATGAGGTCAAAAACAATACTTTTTGGGAAATTCTTTTGTGGTATTTAAATTGAGTATAGGACCTTCATACTTGGCTCAAGAAAACTTCATATTATCTAGAATCATCACACCAAATTTCATCAAAATCGGTTAGATAGATTTTGCATAATAATTTTGCAATTCAGATGTTGAAAAAAAAAATTGCAAATTTTAAAAATTTTTCACAGCAGAAACCAAGACCCTTAGATACTTGAAAATTTAATCACATACAGGGTGTTTCTAAAATAAGATTCCAAACTTCTGCTGCGTTTATAACTCATTAAAATAAGCCAAAAAGTTCCTATTAACATGTGCCCTAAAACGCACCCTTAGGAAGTTATATGCCCTTAAAAGGGCTCAAACAAAACTGATTTTTTTTTTCTACTTAAATTTTATCAATAACTTAAATTGTTGAGCGTTGTGGCAACGTCGGTCTTTTATTTGCCATGGTAAACAGATTTTTGTAATGTTTGGCCTAATAACTTAAAGAGCAGAGTAATTTTCAAACTCAATTTACTCGAAAACCATTGGAAATATCGATTTAGACAAAGATAATATTTTTTACGTAAAATTGTTAAAATTTTATAAGTCTGTAGAGAAAATTGTAAAGAAATTGAAATAAAAAAAATTACGGGGCGAAAACCCCCTTCACCAACCTAAATGGAGTAGCCCATGTTATTTAACGCAAAAAGTTATGTAAGACTCATAATTTTTTTTCTATTTATTTGCGACCGTTTTGTCAATAACAGAAAAAAAAACAGTTTTGTTTGAGTCCTTTTAAGAGCATATAACTTCCTAAGGGTGCGTTTTAGTGCACATGTTAATACGAACTTATTGGCTTATTTTAATGAGTTATAAACGCAGGAGAAGTTTGGAATCCTATTTTAGAAACACCCTGTATAGAAGGGCTCTCAAGCTTTCAAACTTTTTTTGAAAAATTCGAATCCGTCAATTAGGAGAGCTCTGGCGCTTGTTTAAACATTGGTCAAAAAATAACACTGTAATACAGGTTGTAGAGATTCTTTTCCTAACGGTATACAGGGTGTCTCATAATTAGCTGCCAACCATGAACAGGCCGATTCTATGATCAAAACTAAGTAAAAAAGTTCATATGAACATGGGTCCGGAAATGCTTCCTAAGGGCACAGGGACCCATTGAAGAGGGAGGAATGGAAATCATTTTTTT